AACACAATTCGATGGCTTTAGTTAAAAATGCAATGAAACGCCATGCTGCTTTATTTTGCTTAAGCAATGAAACAGTAGCACAAATTAATGCATTCAAAATAGCACTTCTGCTACGATATTTGACAGTGGCTAAATGCTGCATACTGCGTAAATGCGTCACGCTAAGTGCAGAATAATGGTTAAATGCATGCGTGTCATCTAAATTAGCACTATCAATCATACTGAACCAGCAATAAGCGTCATGATGGTCATGTTATGGGGGCATAATAGCCAGGAGATGCTACGCCTTATTTAGTTACGCTCATTTGCTTTATTGTACTCATAACTTATTAAACTTGGCAAGGCCTTCTGAGCCGCGTGCTGCATAATCGGACACACATCTTTGATCTTACAAATAATATCTCTTAAAACGTTTGCTGTCCCTACATCCCTTTGCTTTTTTGTTTGGAAGGCGTAATCTTAAAATGTTTGCTTCGGGTCAAGCTCAGGTCAGTCGCTAAAAGTAAGTTGAAATTTTGAATAAAACTTCGGAGTTGACCCTCACCGAGCTCATCGGTTTGCCACACATGGGGGAGGGGTCATTTCGCCCCTGGTCGAGCTAGAGCCTCGCGAAAAAGTGCCCCTTTGCGACACGCAGCTGGTAACCAATTTTAAGGCCTCAGGTGAATCAGTGATCACTGACCTCAGGTCAAATGACGTTACGTAGGGGCTCGGTTTTTGGTGAATAGCTTTGCCAAAAATGGTCGCAGAGTCACGATTTTGGCACCATCGTGTTAACCGTGGTGGCACGTGATTGGCACCTGGCTCAGGCACGTCGGATATTATGCTTTTCGTTTGGGAGAACCCACATAAGGTTTTGACTTCAGGTCAGAGTCAGGTCAAAGCACAAAGCACTTCCCGGCGCCAAAATAACAGTTTCCATACTTCCTCTTGCGACGTGACCTCTTGCGAGGTCACGTGAGCGACCTGACCACATGTGACATTGATAAAAAACGAGATACATAAGTTGTGAGGCTTCTGGAGGATACCAGGTCCTGTGAATTTCATCTCCCTGTGAAAGCTCCTCTGGCACTGAGGACGTTGTGAAGTTGCAACATGTTAGAACCGTGCAGAGGTTCACTTATGACACCATAGGTCAGTGACCTGCACTGACCTGAAAATGCGGTTGATGTCGAAAGATCTGGATAAACGCATTCCAATAAAGTGCAAAAAAAACACATCAAGTGGTCGCACCAACCTCAGTCAGGGTGGTAAGCCGAATTGCAGAACGGGGCTGACTTACATTTTTGACGCCAGACAGATAAGATTCCTATTAATCCGCCTCATCAAGTTCATTCTTTTGCAGTCAAAGCGCAATGTGAAATTTACATAGGCTTATATTTTCCCAGCCAGCTTAGTCGACAAAAAGTCATTTCGCTCACATGGTTGTTATCGTGAACACAATGCGACATTTGTTCACGTACTTGCCTCACATAATCAAGCCGTCCTCGTTATGAAACCGTGTTCATTTTCATAAATTCGCTGCCATTGCGCGAATTAGCCCGCGCTCGCGAAGCAGTTGACATACCATTTCATCTCCGGGGCAGTCGGCGACCACAGCCGTGACCCGACATTGGTCCGCCTCAAGGGCAGGACCAAGAGTTCTAAGAAGGGAAGGGTGGCTTTTTCTATACATGACTGGTGGTTGTCGTTTTTGGGAACGTGGCTGGCCTAGTTTTGATTGAGACATAAAATGTAAGCGTCGGCAGAGCTTCGCGTTAGTTGTGACAGAACTGACATGACATCACCGAGATGTATCTACTTGAAGTCATAATGAAGCATTCACTTCTCTGACTCTTATCCTTTGGCTTTTTCGTAAATAATAAAAACTTATCAGTTGTAATTCTCACCTGAATGTAACCAATTATCAGGTGACCTTCGCTTAAGTGTGCCGCATTTACAGGATAAGAGTAGGTATTTGTTGGTATATGTGCGCAGACTACTAGTTAAGCACAGTGAATGGCATGAATGCAGCTTAAATTATGCTAAATTCTTATGTCATGTTTAATTCAACATATTCACATCATCCAGTCAAAATTCATGAACGCTTGTGCAAATGGCCAGAGTTGCATTATTGGACTAACGGAACAATAGAACTGACGAGATGATGAGTTGTTTGCATAAAAAGTCATTTGTTTATCCAGATAACGACACATTGTTTTGTCGTTGCTTCCGTCGTGGTATTGTGCCATTTAATCCGACACGGAATATACACACGGGCGCGGGTCATGGCAAGGGATGCGGAGACGTGAAAATTTCAGACGGCTCCGGTTCCGGCTCCGGCTCCGGAGAAAAAAAACGGCTCCAGCTCCGGTTCCAGCTCCGGATGAAATGTCATGGCGACTCAGGCTCCGGCAACGGCTCCGAGTAAAATGGTCCGGCTCCGGCGGCTCCGGCTCCGGCTCCGGCTCCGACTCAGTACATCCCCTATGGCCGTGGAAATTTCAGACAGCTCCGGCTCCGGCTCCGGCTTCGGAAAAAATCGGCTCCGGCTCCGGCTCCGGCTCCAGGTGAAACGTCATAGCGGCTCCGGCTCCGGCTCCGGCTCCGGGCAAAATGTGCCGGCTCCGGCGGCTCCAGCTCTGCAGCTCCGGCTCCGGCTCCGCACCCCTCGACTCATGACCCATATATCGCCGTATGAATTCATCCGCGAGTCTCGTTATGCTTCCCCCTCTGGATGAACGCTGCCTGCTGCAGACTGTTTGATTTTCATTATCTTTGTCAGGGTGATATGAGTGACTCGTCGATTGCATCGTCCATTTTTCGGCAGCATTTGCATCCTGTGTCATGTGTGGGAGAACCGTTTGACCGAACAACATTCGGCTGACTGCTGTGTGGGTGAAAACAATCAGATGCAGAAAGCTATGAATATCTCCCTACTACGAGATATATCTTCATACTACGAGACTTCGTACTTCATTCAGCTTCATACTCGTATATATAGAAGTGAGGAGGTTGTGTGTGGGTGAGATTGGGAGGAAGGGACAGGGTAAACAGGATTGCTCCGTGCCACTGGGGTCTCATCTAGCCGATAATGAAGAATCAATGGTGAGCTAATGCTCGCACAGGGAGTACCGTAAGGCAGTGAATGAGAGTTGAGGCCTGAGGGTCGAATGGCTGCATATTCTCAGTTTTTTTTTTTTCACGCCCACATCTTTGCCTGAACCGATGGTCCTGTAATCTGTATCATCCGACCAAGAAAATGAACCTATTTTGTTAGACAATACTCTTCAGAGTGGCGTGCACCTACATAGACGTCCTAATCTCTTGGAATGTGATCCTTGGTGCAGGATTATTGAATTTTATAATGCGTTATCGCATAATGTTTTATCGTTCCCAGAGAAACGATGAAACAATTATCCCCAATTATCTTACGAATTCGGCTCATCCACTGCAGATAAAACCTCCCCTCTATGCCATTATATCAATGGCCTATCCTATGGCCGGTGGACAACCTCTCCCACAAACACAATCCCTTTGGCCTTTACAGAGCAGGGAGGAAGTGTGGTCACCTGCCATCAAAGCAGAAACTGATTGTCGGCCGGTCGGGGATGGGAGAATCAGTCGGGACATCACCATCCCCCCGGGCCGAGCGCGGCAGCCTGTCATTAGTGCTGCGCAGAGCTGGGAGGGCGAGCTTTCATCTCTGATCTCGGCACACCGTCTGATTAGACCATTCAACTGGGGACGCGCCGTGCCGGAGCTATTGGCCCGCGGCGATACAAAGAGCGAGGCGATTAGGGCTGCCTGTCGGTCCTTCGTCAACTGTGCCGGCCACGCTTACACAGAGCGACAGGATGACAAAGGGTGTTGAGTTTATCAAGGCACGAACACGAATTTGATGGTATTGTATTGTTATATGACAAGAAATGAGATAAAAAGATAGGCTTCCCGTGTTTACTTTTCACTCATGCTGCACAAAAACTTCTTCGGAATAGGTATTCGTGCAGCGCTGGCGTATTTATTTCAAGTGGGATAGGTATGCATAGTAAACAAAATCGTAAAACGGTCAAGTTAACTCCAGATGGCTTGATGTATAATGTATATGAACGTCAAATCGATGCTTTATTGAAGGAGCAGCAGGGCGAAACAATGACTCGCACCATGGCGAAGTTATATGCACCGAGTATAATTGAACTCATCATGACATCCGTGAGCTATAAAGGAGGTTCACCATCGTCATAAGCTGTTTGAAAATATACGGTCAAGTCGGTAGAACGCCCACATCACATTGGGCTGGGGAGTTAAAACAAATATCATGAATATCTTCACAGTTTCTCGTCACGCTATGATTATATAACTACCACTAGTGTATCATTCCATAACATGTTCCCAATTTTAACCTGACAATCCGACTCGGAAATTGCCAGGCGCTAATTCATTCTTTTTTCCCCTAAAACGTGTTTCAGCAAAACGCCTCTCCATAACTTTCCTCCCCTCCTCTCCACGATAGTCCGATTCATCGAATAGTAAAGCTCCCAACGATCACGCCAAGTGCGAGCCATTGTTTCGCCCTGTGTGCCTTCGACGCGGCATTGATTTGGCGTTCATCACGTCTCGTGCGTCCCCACTGGACGATGTAAAGTTCTGCCTCTCCCCTGCCTGTGCGTGAGCCCCCTCCCTGGGTCGGCAGCCGCTAAAACGTCGGCGCCGTACATTGTGAATAATAGATCAGAGGCCAGGGCGACGCCAGTTCGAAGGAGGAGCAGACGAGAACTAAGGCACGCAATCTGAGCTTTGGTGCTTTCTGTCATGCGTTTACTACATAGCATTGCTACGACTCAGGAGGTTCGAAGAATTTTTTAATTGATTTGGACGCAGTTCGCATGCTTACACACCTGCTTATTTTCGAAACATTCTAGACACTGAATCGTGCGAATTCCAAATTTGCCGCTGACGTGGCCACCGCCTGATTCTCCACGCTGCATGCTGTCCAACGCCCATCATCGCCTCTCCATCTGATGGCTTTATCCAAGGATGCCGCTTCCATCTACGACTTCACGTGCCTCGACATTGACGGCAACGAGGTGCCGCTCTCCAAGTATGAAGGCCAGGTGTGCATTATCGTCAACGTGGCCTCCAAATGAGGCAAGACCCCGACCAACTACCGGCAGTTGGTCCAGCTGTACGATACCTACAGAGAGCAGGGTCTCAGAATCCTGGCCTTCCCGTGCAATCAGTTTGATAACCAGGAGCCGGGCACGCCGAACGACATCAAGAAGTTCGTCGCGGGGTACGGTGTCAAGTTCGACGTGTTCACCAAGATTAAGGTGAATGGCTCTGGAACGGATCCACTGTGGGTGTACCTGAAGAGCAAGCAGAGAGGGACGCTGGGCAACTTCATCAAGTGGAACTTTGCCAAATTTGTGGTGGACCGCAAGGGCCAGCCGGTGGCGCGGTTCGGGCCCGGCGATGACCCGATCCCTGCTGTTGAGGATGCTGTGAAGAAGCTGCTCTGAGTGACCTGAGAGGGCCGCCGCCGCCGCCGCCGCCGCCGCCGCCACCCCGCCCGTCGGATGACGTCTCGACTGGAAACCCGCGCCGCAGGTCGGCCGAGACCGAGGAGAGGCGGACGGGGTAGCAGCGGCGGCTGGGGACCTCCACTCGAGATACTCTCAAGGTAAACGGCTGTTTAAAGGATTCCCGGATGAAAAGTCAAAGCGTTAAAAGTAAACGTATAGGCTGCTTGGTAATTGTGCTCCTGATATTCTGGCTGTTACAGGAGCGATGTCTTTGTTCTTTGATACGGTCCCCGTGTTGTAAGCAGCAAATACCGATGTCTTGAAGTATTTTCCTCATACCAACATTAAGATGAGGTTTAAGCTAGCCAAAACTTATTTTCAATGGAATGGCTCATTCATAATTGCGCTCGGTTAATAATTGTCCCCGTTTCCTGCTTAACCAGTAAAACGCCTTTTGGGCGACCAACGGAGCGAGCGAGAGGATGGGCCTTGCACGTGCGAAATTGCGAGGGGGTACCTCCAACTAACTTGTGCACTGCACCCTACTAATCGGTCTTTAGCGATGTGCCAAATTTCAGCGCAATCGGCCCAGCCGTTCTCGAGATCTGGAAGCGGCACACTGCACGTGCGCACGCGCAAGCGGGGCCCAAACTGACTTTTGCACGGCACCCTACTAACTGGTCCCCAACCGTGTACCAAATTTGAGCGCAATCGGCCAGGCCGTTCTCGAGATCTGGGAGCGCCCCCTGCACGTGCGCACGTGCTGTAGCACCCCAACCTTAACACATGCAGATGAATTATCTGATGGAGACCTAACTGTGTACCGAGTTTCAATTCAATCGGCCCAACCGTTGTGCCGTTATTGAGGTTGCAATTTTGGGGGTTCTTAAAAAATGTCCAACTTTACCACGCGCCACGTGCGGCAGTTGGCAAGAACGCATGGTGGCCATCACACCACATAACTTTTACGTCCAAGTGACATTCAGTAAAGAAGACCGCTTGTCAATCGGATGTCCCGTTCCTAAGATATTAGCTTTTGAAGAGCGTCCCCACGGCCGGCCGGCCGGCCGGCCGGCCGCTCATACTCAGGATTTTCCCTTAATTCAGTATGAGACTCCGCTCGCTTCGCTCGCTCCGTAATCAATGGTCTGCCCATGCGATCATTTTCTTTTTTCACCATAAACTCGGAAAGTTATGCAGCATATAGCATATTCGTAAATAGCGCCATCTCTGAAAACAGCCGATGGTTCTGTCTTGCTTTGCTCTGATCATCTCGATCCACCAACCAACGCACGTGCCACGAGCGCCAGCGCAACGATTGTCCATCGATCTGTTTCCGGTCAGCGTATCGAGTCACGTGATCTCAGTGGCCAGTGACCGGGCCGTATCACGTGATCTGCCTTCCGGAGACAGATGTGGGCGGGTCATGTGACCTCTCCGACCAGTGACCAATGGACCGGCCGGTGATATGTCTGTGTGTGTCACGTGGTTTGTGCGGCCAGTGACCGGCGGTGGATAGGGTGTCGGGGCTGAGGGCTGGTGCCCGCGGCAGGGGAGTTGTGGACGGCTAGCACGAGGTGGAGGCACGCACCCAACGTGACGCCTGCCATCTAATTGGTCACGCACAGTATTGGAGCCGGGCAGAGGTTATTAAAGTCGAACAAAGTTTGATGGAGGCAAGCAACAGCGATGGGGGTTGGAGTGGATTTAAATGGATTCGGGGGTGTTGATGCTTTGCGTAGCTGAAGTGAAGGGAATTTCATTGTAAAGAACGATCGATGAATGAAATACATAAGCAGCAAACACTACTGCAGAGTGCAGATGCTCAACATTCCAAAATTCACACAACCAAAAATCACATAAGGCAGCAGTCCACCTCCCGATACGACGATACGTCATCAGGCTGTATACCAGTCTCCCCACCTTATCCCGCGTGCTTCTCAGCATCTCGGCTCCATCTGTCATACTCTCCGATATGCGCATTGCTTTCATAACGAACACACCACACCCTCATGGGGCACTTCCGCTCCGGCCATACCGCGCAAGAATTTGCCGCCTACCCTCCGGACGTGGCTGGCGTCTTGCCATTATTGGTTGGCTATCAGTATGCCTCCTATCCAGTGTTCTGAATATTTGCCGTCGTCTGGCAGAAGCAGGGAGGAGGGGGTCGAAGACTGTGAGTCACTCCCGGGGAGGGGTAAGGGTTTGGGAGTGTGGGGTGGGTGGGGTGTTCATGCTGGATGCGGTGCTGCATGCAGGGCAATGGAGGTTACTTTGAGGCTGGGTGGCAGCAGCAAAGGCAGGTGGAAATGCGTTAGTTAGATGTTATCATGAAAGCTGCAGTGTTGTAAGAAACAATTAACGTGCAAATAAGCGCCGAACACAGAGCGGTGTTGAATTTCACTTATGAGCATTGGCGGGCTCGCATAAAAACTTACACTTACGTATACACGAAATATTTGAACTTCCCATTTATATCCACCGAAATAAACATAGTTTTTACGCGACTATCTAGGTTGACTTCAATTGTATTCACATGTGTTTTTTATTGCCTGATTATGATCTAGATCACTAACTAGCAGGTGCCAGGTGGTTGTGGCGAAACAAAGCTGAAGGGGGACATGATGTGAGGGTAGGAAAAAAGTTTTGAAGGGTGACCTCACATACAGTGGCATGGCTATTAATCTTGTGCTGCTTGAAGTGGAACGGTCGGACCTCCTACATGGGAAGTGCTAGAAACCGACTCGTGCTGGTCAGGACTAGGAGAGATTACTGTGACCCTTGGTGGAGCGCCGGATGCAGGGAGGGGGCTGCAATCACCCACTTATTAAATACTTGGCCCACGTCCGGCCGTCTAATAGAAGCCGCCACTGGCTATTCACTCTTTGTCTTCTATTCTTTACACTTGCCTTCTCGGCAAAATTAAAATTTTATATTGCGCACGCTTCTGGAATTGTCTCAAGCTCATCTGTCGACACCCAGTGGATGGAAAATGTGCTTCCGCTAGTCAGAAGTGTTCTTTGTCTCAGTCGGGCGAGCTACAGTCGCCGGTGGACGCCATCGCCGACTATAACACTCGGGGGACCAATAAATGTCACGGGCCTTTTGGCTGCCGTTACAACTAAATCGAATTATGTCACGCCCGTTTCCGACGTTCAAGTGATTGCATGGAATTGGGCCGTGTGGCCCGAGGGAATCTTCCGAAATAAGCGGGGGCGCTATGCGTGGTCCTGACATTGGGCATGTCATAAGGTAGGGATGTGGTACCACCGGGAAGCTCAAACGCAGTCGTTTGGCGGATGTGCGTCGATTGAAGTGGCGTACGAACAAAGAATGGAAAGACGGTACGCGTTTGCTACAAAGAATCAAAATCTGAGAACTTTAAATAGCATGGAAACTGACGACTGGAAAATGTTCTACCATAAAACATTAGTTCCAAATTCCAGCAAAGTATATGCGAGCTTTGATCTGTAACAGCCCGCGCCTCAGGTCTGAAACTACGTAGCAGGATTTTACATAACATGCATTCAAAGGTATAATTATCTCACTACAAACCGTGCCTGTCGTCGTGGTGAGTGAGTGCCATGATCAATCTCCGTCGAGGAATCTACCTGCACGGCAATAGTCTCTGCAACCATCCTGTGTGTGTGTGTGTGCACACACACACACACAGGATGGTTGCAGAGATAAAAATTTTGACTGATAAAAATTTTGACACCCCACATTACATCTGACTCCTCTTACAGGTGTCAGTGATCTCTAAATTTGGGTTCAAACTCCAAAATTTGGAGAGGTCGATCTCAATATATGGTGTCCGACACCAAGAACTGGTGTTGTCCTGAAGGTGTCGCGACTCCCCATGGGGCAAACGGGCTGACTCCCTTGATTCCAAGACTCCAAGAGACGGTGTCACGACTCCAGACGGGGGGAGTTGCGACTCCTTCCTGTAAATTCCGACTGATTGGTAAAGGTGTCCGACTCCACAGAAAGGCTTCGTGGAAAAGGTGTCGGGACACCTTTTTCCGTTCGCAGGGAGTCGGACCCCATTACAAGGTGTTTTGGACTGATTTGTAAAGGTGTCCGACTCCACAGAAAGGCGATGTGGAAAAGGTGTCGGGACACCCTTTCCCGTTCACAGGGAGTCAGATCCCCTTACAAGGTGGTTAACCTCGAGTGTTAGCCAATCAGAGCGCGCCGTCCACCACTGATCGAAATTGGATGCTCATGCTTACACATCGGACATCGTTTTAAAACCAACTTCAATTAATTAAAAAGTTAAATTTTCCTTCCAGGTACATACAAATGTCAACTTCGGTCATATTTCCGATGATTTTTTTTGGGGGGGGGGGCCAAAACGGCATGAGGCTCAATTTGAATATATTTTTGTATTTTTAATTAAAGATAAATTTCGGCAAATCCCAAAAAATAGTGGCCTAAATCCGAAGAGTTTTTAGTTTTAGGGGCACCCTACCCCTTCGCTAAAATGCCCCTCCCATGACAGGTAGCTGGATCCGCCAGTGGCTGCCATCCATATGTTTGACCCATGTCATCAGAATATTTTTGCAGAGCCCCACGTGGCGCCACGTGATAGTGACGCGTAACACGTGGCTGCATCGTCTCACGTGACGGACACCACCGTCTTTCCGGCGGATCGCTACGTCGAATGGTGCCAACCCCTTCCCGATTGGTCCACGTGCACTGGAGATGCTTCGGCGCTATTGACTCTGTATTCTGGTATCTTCTCCCGGCGTGCCGGCACCCTGCGTTCCCTCCCAGCGCGACGGAGGTGCCACCGACGAAGAGGTTGCTAGGCAACGGTATTTGCTTGCACTGTTCTATGAACTCAGGTTTCTATAGCAACCCCGTAACAAACCAATGAATCTGAACAGGTCTCCATGGCAACCATGATACCAATATTGTTATAGAACACGTTGTCTTGCAAACTTAGTTGCAACTATAACTTTGTTTCAGCTATCCTAGTTTTTAAGAATCCAAAAGAGGAATAATATAATTAAATTTATTATAATGAGAATTGTGTCTATAAAAAACGAAGTTAATCAAAAACCATCCAT